TCCCAGAAGACGCACGTGTCACTCGGTCATTTCCAGAAGACCCACTCCTTTCGCTCCCACCCCTTCCTGTCCTTCCCCCAGAATTCATTCCCACGCCGAAGCTCACCAAGGAGCGCCTTTATGACGAAATGAAGCTAAACTCTGATGGATTCTTATGGCCAGAAGAAGAAAAGCTTTTCGCTCACATCATGATACTCAATCAGCGCAGTCTTGCCTTCGAGGAAACTGACAGAGGAACGTTCAGAGAAGACTACTTCTCTCCCTACGTCATACCTGTTCTCCCACATGTCCCTTGGGAATACAAGAACATTCCTATTCCTCCTGGAATCAAGAATGAAGTCATAGAATTGCTCAGAGACAAAATCAAAGCTGGAGTCTATGAGCCTAGCCAGTCGTCTTATCGCTCTAAGTGGTTTTGCGTTCAGAAGAAGAATGGCAAGATTCGCATCGTCCATGATCTTCAGTCACTAAATGCAGTCACTATCAAAGACTCAGGAGTACCACCTATCCTTGACGACTTTGTGGAGCCATTTGCTGGTTCTCAATGCTATACTGTATTTGATCTTTTTTGGGGATTTGATGCTCGAAAGGTGCACCCTGACAGTCGTGACCTTACCTCTTTTCTATTGCCACTAGGACTTCTGAGGATTACTTCTATGCCTATAGGATTCACCAATTCCGTTCCAGAATTCCAGAATTGCATGACTTTCATCTTGCAAGACAAAATTCCGCATATTGCCAATATCTTTGTTGATGACCTCCCAATCAAAGGACCTACTTCTCGTTATAAAGATGCAGATGGCAACCCAGAGACTATTCCTGGCAACCCTGGCATTCGTAGATTTATATGGGAACATGCCATTAATGTTCATCGCATTATGCATAGAGTTGGTCATGCTGGCAGAACTTTCTCTGGAAAGAAGACTCAAGTATGTTGTCCTCAAGTTGTGATTGTCGGACAAGTATGCTGCCCAGAAGGTCGTCTCCCTGACAGTACCAAGGTGGACAAGATTCTTAAATGGCCAATTCTCCAGACTCCCAAAGACATTCGCAGTTTTCTTGGTCTATGTGGGACAGTTCACATTTGGATCCGCAATTACTCTGCTCTTGCACGCCCCTTGACAAAATTGTATCGCAAAGGAGCTGAATTTCAATGGGATGAATGCAGACAAGAAGCATTTGATGCTCTGAAGCATGCAGTATCTTCTGCACCAGCACTTCACCCTATAAATTATTCGTCACACAACCCAGTCGTTCTTTCAGTTGATACCAGTAAGATTGCTGTTGGTTTTATCCTCTCCCAGCTTGATGAAAATGGAAGGAAGCGTCCAGCTCGCTATGGCTCTATTCCCATGAACGATAGAGAGGCAAATTACAGTCAACCCAAGCTAGAATTATATGGTTTGTTCAGAGCACTTCGTCATTTTTGCCTTTACATTGCAGGAGTAAAACACTTGCATGTGGAGGTGGATGCCAAGTATATCAAAGGCATGCTCAACGACCCAGATCTTCAGCCTAATGCCACTATCAATTGTTGGATTCAGGGCATCCTTTTCTTTGATTTCAAGCTCATTCACATACCTGCTGATCGTCATCGTGGTCCTGATGCATTATCTCGTCGTCAACCAACAGAGGAAGACTTTGAAGATGCTCAAGAATCAGATGATTGGCTTGATGATATTGCTCTTCTTGTTGATCTTGCCAGACCTCTCCCATATCACCCTATGTCACTCCCTTCGTTCCTTGACAATGATTCTTCTCAGTATGATACCCTTCATCGAATCTTTCACTTTCTTCAAACTATGGAGCTGCCTATATTTTCCTCTCTTCAAGCTCAAAAGTGTTTTGTCAAGCGATCACTTCAATTCTTCTTGAAAGGAGACAACATGTTCAAGCGTCGTCACTCTGCTCCTCCTCTCAAAGTCATCATCAATCCTGACCTTCGACTTCACATCCTTACTGAAGCACATGAAAGGCTTGGTCACAGAGGAGTCAATGGTGTATTCTCTACAGTCAGAGAGCGCTTTTACTGGCCCCATATGTTACAGGATGTCAAGCATCATATTCGCACCTGCCATGAATGCCAGATTCGAAGTGTACGCAAAAGTGAAGTCCCACTTACCATCTCATCACCTTCTACAATCTTCACCAAAGTCTATGTCGACATTATGCTCATGCCCAAGGCCAGAGGATATCGATATCTTGTTGCTGCAAGAGATGATCTGTCACTTGCTGCAGAAGGAAGAGCATTGAAGAAAGCATCTGCACATAATCTTGCTCGCTTTTTCTGGGAAGAAATCATCTGTCGCTATGGAGCTATAGGAGAAGTTGTCACAGATAATGGAAGCAAAGTCAAAGGAGCATTTGAAGAGCTTGTGGAACGTTACCAGATCCCTCATATTTGCATTTCTCCCTACAATTCCAAGGCAAATGGTGTTGTTGAGCGTGGACACTTTGTCATAAGAGAAGCACTTGTCAAGTCCTGTGAAGGGAATGTCGATTTATGGCCAACCAAGGTCCATCATGCCTTCTTTGCAGACAAGGTCACTACTCGTTGTTCTACTGGATTCAGCCCTTTTTATCTGTTGCACGGAGTTGACCCAGTCCTACCATTTGATCTGACAGAAGCGACTTTCCTTGTTCATGGATTCCATACTGCAATGTCAACAGAAGACCTCATTGCTCTGCGCATTCGTCAACTAGAAAAGAGACAGGATGATTTGCAACAAGCTGCACTCACTATACGCAAAACTCGTCTCAGATCTAAAGCGCAGTTTGAGAAACTCTATGCACGAAGGATGTTCAAGAACGAATACCAGCCTGGAGAGCTTGTTCTAGTGCGGAATACTCAGGTTGAGAAAGAGCTGGATCGTAAAGCAAAGCCTCGTTACAATGGCCCTTATGAAGTTGTGCGACGTACTAAAGGAGGATCGTATGTTCTAAAAGAAATGGATGGATCAGTATCACGAAGAGGAATTGCAGCATTTCGCCTACTTCCCTATTTCAACCGCCACTCTATGCCCCTCTTGGACGAACTGGATGACCATGATAACGACCTAGATGAACCTGACTATGAGCATAACGACTCAGATGATGAAGATAACGATTAATGACTTACCTGAACGAATTTTATGCTGACATGACCCTTTAATGTGTTGCCATGTTTCATTCCTTATGACCCTACCTTTATGGAAGCAACTGGGGACAGTTGCAATTTCAAGTTGTCCGTGGATGTCATGCACCAAAGTTGATTGGTAGCATAGACAGGTGTCAATAATGAAGCGAATATTCAAAAAGACTCGCCTTTGCGCCACACAGGCACAGTGCCACGTGGAATAGTAATTAATATTGCCCTTTTTGAACTTGTGGCTGATCAGCACCACCTCTATTAGGCAATCCAGTCACGCTCACCTTTGCTTTTCCATCCGGTACTTTCCGCGTTTCGGCATTTCAGCAAATTTTTGTGTCGCCACTGGCTACACATTGCATTGTGCCCTGGGACTCACTTGTTCCAAATTGGGACTACTCCTCTCCCTCCCTCATTTGACCAGGTGGTCCAACGCAACCGTCCATTGGTAAGGCCATGGAACTGTCGGATTTGGACTAGGTGGTGGACCGGTGGCTCCAGTTTCTTTTTTTTCAGCAGAACATTCATTTACAGTGCAATTATTTTTGATTTTTGAATCATTTTTATGGACATATATTTTTTAGAATGCCTGACTGACAATAAAGGAACTGTGTTGATACTGATAGTGTTTTGCCTTGCCCTTTTTTTACTGCATCTTCCCATGACATCATGATTTTCCTGCTCTCTTTTTGCTATTGGACTTTACTTTATGGCTGTACAAACCTGTGACATTACTCACAGCATTTATTGTTCTATCCCTTTCTTTTCCTTTTTTTGACAATCTTATCCTGTACTACCTACGCAGGATTTGTCAGTGTACATTCCTTCCTTCATATTCTTTCTCATTCTTTTTGCACAGCTATACTGTGCATAGCCTACTTTTCTTTTACTATATAAACCCCTGTATTTTACCTTGTAAAAACAACAAGAAATCCAATCCAGACTTCTTCTCTACTCTCAAGTTCACTACTCTACTACTTGTGATCCAGTGTGGTCACAACACTTCCCACTTCTACCATTATTAACTGCTGTCATCGTCACTCGTCACTTTTGAAAGTGATTGTCTTCCCTTTCGATTAGAGTCCTTCTGAGCACTACAGTTTGTGTGTCAGGAGCCTGCTATCACTGGGAACTTTGTCATATTGTCGTTCTCAAACCTACCTTGTGCTACGATTAGCAAGGTAGTGCTCGTCTATACTCGCCACAAAGCACCTATCTTCCTATAAATTCAACTATCCCTCCTCCTCAAAACCCACACTCATACACCTCTGGGTTTTACTTTGAAGGATCTTTATACGTACCACCCCACAAACAACCAGACCACTCCACTGTTCTAGGAGGCAAAGCCCATAAACAAGTTCCGTGGAATCTGGGAGGATTGTGTGTTAGTTTGTTTTGTGAGTGGTTTTCTAACAACAGTTCTCATCATCAACAGTGTTGGATATAGTGGATGCTGGAAGCTGACACTTGTCCTTTGTGGAGGGGAGACCTTGTAGTAGCTCTGAGGATTCCTATTTGATTGCAACAGCGGAGACTTGAACTTTTGGACAACCAGCCCAGCTTGTGTAGTGTAACCCCATGAATGTATCAGCCTTCCAATTGTCGGCGCAAAGCCAGAAGATGGGAAATGTGGTACGCATTGAGCAAATAAAGTACTCCCGAGCGATGATGGTAATTTTTGACCGTGTTGATGGTGATACTGAAGTAAGGTGTAGCACAGCTTGCATTGATCGTCACGAAACTGCTGCTGTTCCAATTTGCTAACCACAACACCATGCTCGTCTTCGAGAAATCCAGTTGCACCTGAGTCCATGGTACATCTAGTCTTGATATGGACCATGTCCTTCTGGCTATCTTTATTGTACACTTTTGTCTAGTAAACGACCCCAGGAGGAGCTGTTTCCTTGGTGTAGTATCCAGAGGTGTCAGCCACACACGTGGCCTTGAGTACAGCCATAAACAGGCTTTCATTAATGGGGGATAGCTGCCAGCGCTGATAGAGTTCATGCGACCGAGGACCTGCTGGAGGAGATCGTTGTTGGCAATTACATGCTCGAGGACCTTCCCAGATTTGCTAAGATTGTCATAATAGTGAGATGTAGTAGTAGTAATGGGAGGGATTTATAGATCGTACCGGGAAGAGTTAAGCCTCTCTTTGAGTGAGACAACTTTGCTTTCCAGTTTTGCGACCTTGCGTTCGGGATCTTGCTCCCGGCGTGATAGTGCAATTGGACCCGGCTTGGTATGAGCCAGAGGAAAGTGGATTTTGCTTGAATTGTACAACATGTGGTGACCGTTATAGGACGTGTCCTAGCATGCGCATATATCCACATTAATTAGTCTGAATGATTAGTGAAAAAACAATAGAGTACGTACACTGCAATATGGGTCTGTATGGTTGACAATGTTGTGTCCGAAATTGTGATCTATAACTTGAGGGTCTTTGTCTGACAGATTTCTGTTGCACATATGTAAAGAGAATTCTAGGCCATCTGGAGAGCTTGTTAATTGAGTACAGTTGGACGATGGTGACAGCAGAATATCCAGATGATATCCAGGAGGCATGGGGAGTTCTGGGGTGGCAGGTGTGTCGATGTTGCTATGTTGCCGTTGTCGGTACATGGTATGAGAGTAATGAAGGCCCCTGACAAAAAGAATCTTGAATAAGTTTAGTAAGCAGCTTACCAAAAAAACACGAAGTCCATTTTGTCTCTGTATCATAACTGTTATCACCATGTCCACTAATATTATTAATGAACTTGCTGCTCTCACCATTCGGGAGGACACAATGGTCCTGGACATTGGTATTGACAAATTCAATGAAGAATGCAGCACATATGCGATCACTTTCACACCCACAATGCCAGGCCCTGTTGTGAGTCATACTGTCAATATTAGAACATCCTGAGGCACAATGGATATGATATTGCTTACCAGAACATCGTGTTTCGTTTCCAGAAGGCACCAATGAAAGCAGCCCACGCATTCCCTGATGATAGCAATAGCAAGGAAGACTCAGAAATGTCAAAGTTATCCAAAAAGCACGCTGCTGGTAATTCTACAAAGTAAGCTCTATCATGTTTAATTATATTTTCTTCTTCTTCTTCTTCTTGTCCCCACTTACTTGAACTAAACATAGATCCATCAAACGCAAGGAAGGCAATACCACGCACAGTCACCCGGTTGGCAGTGTAACCGCAAAACCTGTCAAAAACAATCTCGCCATCTACGATAAGCTGTTGAGTAACTATAAGTAAGTTATAACCAGAGAATAAGTACACAGAAAATTTACCTTAACGTTATGAGCTTTTCAAGCATTTGGTTGGGTTTCACGCTGACACCATAATAATTGACACTTCTGACCATTGGGAAATTGCAGCCGTGCCCAACAAGAGACTTTGAAGAGGTTGTATTGGTTGAAATACTTGAAATCTGGAGATTCTGGTGCATGTGTGTCGAGGTATGTCTGTATTGCTTGACTTTTGTGAGGTAAAGTTGTATCCGCTGTTAATTTTTTTGGCTGGATTACGAGGGGGGCGTCCAAATGACCCAGGAAAATGTCCAGTTGCAGCCGCAACAATCTTACCATGGTCTTTCCATATTTGTGCATCGGATAGTCCTGCCCAGGGCCAAGTAGATTTGTTGTTATCCTTGTCACATTCAAATGTTCCACGCCAAAGGGGAATAACCAGGTCTGGGAGATTTAAGGATAGTAAATGCATGAGATCTGAACCAAAGCACTTAGCAACTGCAAGAATGCGACCTTGAGGGAGGCATGCTTGGCTTGGAGATACCCGTCTCCAGTTGCTGTTTTCTGTATTGAGCATCATTTGGAGACAGCAGCACATACTTGAGATTGCTCCAATAAGTTTCAACCGAGCATGAGTTGAAGCTGTGTGCATCAATGTCAGGGTGATCGCTCCCTGGCATATCGTAGTTGTTAGGCTTGAGAAGGGCTGGATAATAATGGGGGGCACCCGGTTTGTGACGTTCTTTGAGTCCACAGTATAGTCAGCATCCATTTTTACCATGTGTCCCACAAATCCATTGAGATAGGTGAGTCCAGGTCCATCAGCCGTCACAATCATAAGGAATAGGTGCAACAGGTATTGTTCATTGCATGATGCGTCCCATATCAAAAGGCCCTCTTTTTGTGTCGCCGTGAGATGCTGTAAGCCAGGAAAGAGGTACGAGTCGAGATTCTTCGGTTTGTTTGGGCCAGGGATGACAAGAGCGGGAAGGACATATTTTTTTCTGTATTGAGTGTCAGGGGAGCGATTGAGTATAACAAATATTCCAATCCAACAGTCAGACACCTTGTTTCGATACAGTTGGGCCCCATCTATAGAAAACATCATGATGATGTCATTGTCTTGAATCCGACTGTCTACAACCGCTTCAAGATAGTCAGTGCCATTGATAATGTTATCGTATTTTTCCTTGATGCCACCGTTGCGTTCCAGCTCATCCAAGATTCTCTGAGTGCGTTTGTGACGGTATTGCATCTCCCGTGCTTTTTCTGGGTCACGGTACAGTGCTTAAAGTTGCTCGGCAAGAGGGATTGTTGAAAAGGTTTGATGTGGTGTTTTAAGTGCATCATTTGACGCCAGGAGGATGTCTTGATTGTATAAAGCTTCTCCGCATTCAGGACAGTATTTGAGATCAGAAAAAGGACCAGTATATGCAAGGCATTGCTTGATACCACAGTCCAACATGAGTGGTTCTATTCCACTGAGCTCGGTGACAATCCTTTGGACTTTGTGAAGCAAAGGAAGGTCTTGGTCTTTGTTGAGTTCCCTGATCCTGTCCCGTGTGTTGTTGTAATTGCTCTCAGCGTGATTGAGTTGTAGATAAAACTTGACACCAGTGCACATGAGTGGTATCATCGTCCAGTGTTGGCGTGAAACAGGGGGGGTTTTGGATACAATGTATTGCGTTGGGGGAAAGGCCATCCGTCTCCAGCGACAATTTTTCAAGACCCTGGATGAATTCTGTTGAGATGCGAAGATTGTCGAGTTTGACATTATTGTACAACTCGGTAAGTACCTCTTTGTTGGCGTCGAGAGGTGCTGGATGTTCCGGTGTCGATGATGAGAACTGCAGTTAGAAAACCACACACAAAACAAACTAACACACAATCCTCCCAGATTCCACGGAACTTGTTTATGGGCTTTGCCTCCTAGAACAGTGGAGTGGTCTGGTTGTTTGTGGGGTGGTACGTATAAAGATCCTTCAAAGTAAAACCCAGAGGTGTATGAGTGTGGGTTTTGAGGAGGAGGGATAGTTGAATTTATAGGAAGATAGGTGCTTTGTGGCGAGTATAGACGAGCACTACCTTGCTAATCGTAGCACAAGGTAGGTTTGAGAACGACAATATGACAAAGTTCCCAGTGATAGCAGGCTCCTGACACACAAACTGTAGTGCTCAGAAGGACTCTAATCGAAAGGGAAGACAATCACTTTCAAAAGTGACGAGTGACGATGACAGCAGTTAATAATGGTAGAAGTGGGAAGTGTTGTGACCACACTGGATCACAAGTAGTAGAGTAGTGAACTTGAGAGTAGAGAAGAAGTCTGGATTGGATTTCTTGTTGTTTTTACAAGGTAAAATACAGGGGTTTATATAGTAAAAGAAAAGTAGGCTATGCACAGTATAGCTGTGCAAAAAGAATGAGAAAGAATATGAAGGAAGGAATGTACACTGACAAATCCTGCGTAGGTAGTACAGGATAAGATTGTCAAAAAAAGGAAAAGAAAGGGATAGAACAATAAATGCTGTGAGTAATGTCACAGGTTTGTACAGCCATAAAGTAAAGTCCAATAGCAAAAAGAGAGCAGGAAAATCATGATGTCATGGGAAGATGCAGTAAAAAAAGGGCAAGGCAAAACACTATCAGTATCAACACAGTTCCTTTATTGTCAGTCAGGCATTCTAAAAAATATATGTCCATAAAAATGATTCAAAAATCAAAAATAATTGCACTGTAAATGAATGTTCTGCTGAAAAAAAAGAAACTGGAGCCACCGGTCCACCACCTAGTCCAAATCCGACAGTTCCATGGCCTTACCAATGGACGGTTGCGTTGGACCACCTGGTCAAATGAGGGAGGGAGAGGAGTAGTCCCAATTTGGAACAAGTGAGTCCCAGGGCACAATGCAATGTGTAGCCAGTGGCGACACAAAAATTTGCTGAAATGCCGAAACGCGGAAAGTACCGGATGGAAAAGCAAAGGTGAGCGTGACTGGATTGCCTAATAGAGGTGGTGCTGATCAGCCACAAGTTCAAAAAGGGCAATATTAATTACTATTCCACGTGGCACTGTGCCTGTGTGGCGCAAAGGCGAGTCTTTTTGAATATTCGCTTCGTTATTGACACCTGTCCATGCTACCAATCAACTTTGGTGCATGACACCGGCACGTCTTCAACGGTAGGTGACCGTTGTCGTTGTGAGGGTATCAGGGAGGGTGGATCATTCATACCGTTGTTCTACATTCATATGAGGACATACAAATGAAATAGTAAGGTTTGGGACTCACCTGGTTGTCTGCATCTCTTGGATTATCAAAGACCGGTATTTGCAATCAAGGCGCAGGCAAAGTATGCACAGAACGCCTCTTACACGTTGTTTTGCAATGATGTGCAGCGGAGCTAGTCAACAGTAGGCCCGACTGCGATCCCAAGGCCATTTTGCGTAAATGACTTGTTGAGGGGGGGATCGAGGAGTCATCTTGAATGCGATACTTCTTGTGTACTCGGAAGGGAAGGCCTTGCGACTAACCTCTCTCAGGGTGCCCCCACATTTCTCCTTACAGTCACAATGGTATGTTTTTGCCATGTGCTACAAGAAAAGTTGATTGTATTTTGGAAAATGTCCTGTGTACAGCGGAAGAGGTGTTCGTAGAGTAGCAAAACACATAAACAAAGTTTTGCTTCATGCATTTCACATGCTTTGCGTACTTTGTGGGCTTCGCATTCATCAGATCGGTGCTTTGATGTGATCAGTGGTTGTTTTGATTGTGTCCGGAATGATCTCGGCGTGCTTCATTTCTGTTTTTTTTCTCTGTTTTCTCGAATCCTCTTGCTTAGGGGCCAATAGTTCTAAAATCTCACGTTGGCTCATTTCTCACGCTAAAAGCCTCTACAATTCTCTCACATCTACTTGTAACTTTTGGCTGGATTTCAAGTTTCATAGATGAACAGCTTAGGAAGGGGTACATCAGACCTTCCAAAAGCCCTATGATGTCCCTGGTGTTCTTCATTCCTAAAAAAGATGGTAAGAAGTGTATGATTATGGACTATCGTTACTTAAATGAGTACACGGTCAAAAATGCATATCCGCTGCCTTTGATCAGTCAGCTAGTAGACAAGTCGGCTGGTGCCAAAATCTTAATAAAGATAGATCTCAGATGGGGATACAATAATGTACGCATCAAAGAAGAAGATGCTTGGAAGGCTGCGTTCACGTGCCATAGAGGATCCTTTGAGCCCCTCGTTACGTTCTTTGGGTTGACCAATTCCCCGGCGACCTTCCAGAGCATGATGAACGAGATCTTTGCAGATATGGAGAACTGTGTTGTCATTTATATTGACAATTTATTAATATTTATGAAGTCGGACGATGAGGCTGAGCATGACAGGATTGTGCAAGAAGTCCTTCAATGCTTATAGGAACGGGACCTATTTGTCAAACCCAAAAAATGTAATTTTAAAGTAAAGGAAGTAGACTTTCTCGGTATGATAATAGGCCAGAACAGAATCAGGATGGATCCTAAGAAAGTTCAAGCTATTTTGGACTGGCCTGAACCTACTCACGTCAAAGGAGTTAGGGCCTTTCTTGGCTTAGGCAATTTCTACCAAAGATTTGTCGAAAACTTTGCAAAGATAACAAGACCGTTGAACAATCTCACTAAAAAGGATATTGTTTGGCACTGGGGTGCCAAAGAACAAGAAGCTTTTGATAAGCTTAAGCAGGTGTTTACAACAGCGCCCATATTAGCATTTCCAGAATTCGACAAAGAGTTCCGGCTAGAAACCAACTCTTCTGATTTTGCTACTGGGGCTATTTTATCAATCAAATGCCCTGACAATCTTTGGAGGCCTTGTGCCTATTTATCACATAGTTTGTCGCCTACGGAGCGCAACTATCAAATCTATGATAAGGAGATGTCAGCCATTATTAGAGCTTTAGAGCACTGGTGGCACTACTTAGAAGGTGCTAGGCACCAATTTGAAGTTTGGACTGATTATTTAAATCTGGAGTATTTTATGATGGCCCGACACTTGAACCGAAGACAGGCCCGCTATGCGGTGTACTTGTCTAGGTTTAATTATAAATTAATTCACAAGCCAAATACTTCTATGGGGAAAGTGGGCACTTTATCTAGAAAAAAGGATCATGCCAACAACATCAAAGATAACAACAAAAGTGTCACCCTGATAGATCAATCCAGGGTTGCCAATGTTTGAATTGGGCAAGACTCCAATCTTCTAGAGAAGGTGTCACCCTGATAGATCAATCCAGGGTTGCCAATATTTGAATTGGGCAAGACTCCAATCTTCTAGAGAAGTCTTCAAGAAAGACATCTCCTCAGAAGAGACAGCGCGCCTTGATGGCAATTCACATTATCTATGGGAAGACGGGCTTTTCCATTACAAAGACAAAATCTATGTGCCTGAGTCCGCAAGGATCAAGGCAATAGATAGACGTCACGACACTCCAGTGGCTGGGCACCCTGGGTGGCAACAAACAATGGAGTTGATCTCCAGAAACTATATGTGGCCTGGCATGGTCAAAGACGTACAGGAATACGTAAAATCCTGTTTGAGATGTGCCATGGCAAAGAACTCACATCAACCGCAGGCCGGTAAACTTATGCCAAATCCGATACCAGCTGGTCCCTGGCAAGATATATTGGTTGACTTTATGACGGATCTGCCCAAATCAAATGGGTATGATTCAGTAATGGTGGTAGTAGATCACTTCTCCAAAGAAGTGGTATTCATCCCCACCAATAAAACCATTACAGCCGCCGGTATGGCAGACTTATTTAAAGATTTTGTATGGTCTATCCATTGGTTACCAGAAAAGGTTATCTCCGATAGGGGACTGCAATTCGCTAGCAAATTTACAAAAGAGTTATGCCGGATGCTAGGCATTAAACCTAAATTATCAACAGTGTTCCATCCGCAGACCGATGGACAAACGGAGAGACTCAACCAGGAGTTGAAACAATATCTCCGGATATTTATTAATGACAGATAGACGGATTGGGCCAAGTGGCTAAAGATAGCCCAGTTCTCATATAATATTAAACAGTTGTTGGCTACAGGGAAAGCACCATTTGAGGTTACGAGATTGTACCTTCCCAGAACGGGTGTAGAACCTGGAAAAAGCAAGAACGAGGCTGCTGAGAACATGGTCAAAGACATGAAGTCGGTCTTAGACAAAATGCGCAAGGCGCTATTCAAAACTGCAGAGCAGATGAAAGCCAGGGCAGAGCGTAGACCCTCTAAGGCCCCTGACTACAAGGTCGGCGACCTGGTCTGGTTAGATACTGACCACTTAGAATTGAAAAATCGGCAGTCTAGAAAACTGACCAAAATCCTTATCGGATTAAGGGAATCAAACCCAATACAGTGGAGCTGGAGCTCCCAAAACAAATGAGGGTAGTACCCACGGCCAATATTAGCCGTTGTCGATGATGAGAACTGCTGTTAGAAAACCACACACAAAAACAAACTAACACACAATCCTCTAAGATTCCACGGAACTTGTTTATGGGCTTTGCCTCCTAGAACAGTGGGTGCTCTAGTTGTTTGTGGGGTGGTATGTATGATGATCCTTCAAAGTGAAACCCAGAGATGTATGGGTGTGGGTTTTGAGGAGGAGGGATAGTTGGATGATAAAAGATAGGGGCTTTATGGTGAATATAGATGAGCACTACCTTGCTCATTGTAGCACAAGGTAGGTTTGAGAATGACGAGGTGACAAGGTTCCCAGTGATAGCAGGCTCCTGACACACA